ATGCATCAGTTTAAACATTTGATATGTTTTCTGTGTCCTGTTGTTAATGAAATATGGATTTGTGAGACTTGCAAGTCATTGCAGTCTTTTTTTATTTACATTCCACACAGCATCTGTCATTTGGCAGGCTTGGGATTTTTGGTTGTTTTTTTTTATTTTCCAAAAGAGCTTCGTCATACTATAATTGGGAGAGAAGAAGAAATGCATGCCTTGTATGTTCAACATGGTAATAAGTCACTCAACTAAAAAATTCCAAGCACGTGGGTTATAATAGTACCACACATTTATCAAATGACACATTTTTTTCTTTTTGGACAACCTAAGAAATGTCAATAGATGAAACGGCTAAAAACCAAGGTATGTATGTTGTTTGTCCTTTTTTGCTTACTGGCCAGATCCCTAAAGGTTGCATTTCTCCTGCTTCTCCAAAATTGGTTCCAAGTCCACGTATGAAGACTTGATCCTAATGGTTGAAAGCCTTCAGACCTCTCTATTTCGTTTCTGGAAAATATCCCTTGTGAAGCCAGTATTAACTGGTGAAGGTAACTTTAGTTTAAGAATCATGAACCAAGGCTAATTCTTTTTAATATATGCCAACTGTACTTTGAACTACCAAAACTATTACTTTTGTTATATGGACATGCTTGTCCATATATGTAGAGAGTGTGTGTGATTGCTTCTTTCTGAACTTTGTCATTGTACACCATAATTACACCTGCCCCAACTCTATGTGTCCGTATGCATTCTTCTGCCCATGTATATTTGTGTATGTGTGTGCACTCATCTTCCAAGCTTGTTATATGTAACCGACAGCCTGCTTTCAATATAACCTCTTATTAGATGGTGATTATCCTGCCTGCATCTGGCTTTTTTCAGCAGTTGACTGAAAGTTGGAAAGGCCAGGGGCATACTGGGTGGAAAGGAGTGAAAGCTTCCTGTACCTGGCCCTGGTTCACAGCTGTCTTTTGGAATGTAATTTTTTTTTTTTTTTTTACAATAGTTTTAATGCAACTTGGTAATAATAATAACTGTAGTTTAGCAACCGTCTTACATAATTGTGCTATCCTGGTTGAATCTTTATATTTATATAATCACCAGCAATGTTAGGAAGGTTACATTTGAGAGGTAAGTGAATAGTTAGGGGTGGGTGATATAGCCTCAAGATTATGTCACAATACTTATGTTTTTTGGGATAGTGATAAATATAAAATGAAGATTTTACCAGGGAGTGCAGCTTGTTGGATGACAGCATTAACAGCATGTTATATATATATCTAGTCATACCGTTTCCTTGGTTTTCTTGTTTAATTAAAAAGAAGACATCTGCTTAACACTTGGTTACTTGGGATGTGTCTTGGGCCGAGCTTCTTAAAATTTTGCTTAAAGCTCTGCTTTTCCACCGTTTCCACCCCATCAATAATTTCTATCCATCATTTAATCTGCGTATCGTATGGTAGCAACTACAGTAACTTGTGGGCAGCACATCAACTGCTATTAATATCTTCTCATTGTATGACTTCATACCTTGGCTGTAGTCAACAGTGTATTTTTGCTTCAAGTGTTTGTTGCATTTCCAACTTTAGCGAGAACACTTTTCTTGCATGTTTTGCAGCGCTTTGTCAGAGGTGTGGACTCTAGTTGCCAAACCATTTCCTTACTATTGAAATGCCGTTTAAGGCACTAAATCATGATAAGAGGCTTAGACATGTATGGGCTTGTACTAGGAAACATAAATGCATTGCATTGCTATATCACTGATAGCATAAAACCATTTTTTCACACAAAAAAAATTATACTGGTATTCTTGCAGATGGGATGATATGACACCACTTGGTAGTAGATCAGAAATTGCTAGCTAATACAAAATTAATAAGTAAATAATAATTGGTAAATGTAAAGCAACTCAGCTTGCTGGATGCACAAATATAGAGTTTGCTTTAACAATGTGGGCAAGAATAAACTATCTTTATATACTAATAGTGATGACGCTGCCCTGTAGGGTTTGAGCATTTCAGTCTTGACATAATTTTCACAGCTGGAAATTAAGCTTTACACCTTGATGTAATGTTAGAGCCAATTTTGTGATTTAGCAGCTAAATATTGTAGAATCAGTCAGTTTCGTGACAAATATTGCCATTCAAAGAGATGGTTATTCATGTTGGAGTGATCGTCTGAACTCTGGTTGGTCATGTAGTATACAGTGGGTTGGTTTGTAGTCGTACAAATGCATATAAGACAACCAATAAAAACAATAACTTTTAAATTTAGATTACAAACTGCCGTGGGTTCTTCTTGAAATCATACTATGGTGTTACCCTGACATCTGTCTCAGTGGCTTTTCTTTTTGTCAGACAGAGAATTAAAAACTGTTATATTGTAACTCGGTAGTGTTTATCACTTTATAGCTGGAAGTATATAGTTGGATTCAGCCCTTTTACATCACCAACATTTGGATTATGATCTGAATTTTGATTGAATATTTTTTCCTAATGACAGAGTAATAGATAGCACTTACATTTTATTTGTTTATTTAATTACATAACTTTGTATCTATAGCTTCTATATCTACTGCATCCAAAACCACAGCTAATAAGTGTCACATTTGGATCCCTTCCATAGCCTGTGCTGTGTTTGTGGTGAAATGATAACGGAGATGCTATAACATGCAAATTGCTACATGTCAGTCTGCAAGCTACTTTATAAAGCAAAACACAGCCAAAATAGGAGGGAAAGAAATGGACAGTACACAGTGTAGCAGGATCCCGAGGGCCTGGCTGGGATCTTTGTAAGAGCCCAAACATCAGCTGTTCTCCAATGGGCTTTCAAAGAGCCATAACAGAGGAACACAATAGACTGGACAGATGGTCCCAAACAAACTGCACCGGGTTTGATGCTATTGAAAGCTGTTTACCTCATGCCAGACGCCAGCAAGTGCAGAGGATGCATTGTGTGATCATTTCTGGATGGCTGAATGTGTGCTTCTGTGTGTTTGAGTACCAGCTTCTGCTGCTTCTATAAACCCCCTGGTCTGTTTTAACCACCAAATGACTACTCATAGCTGGTAAGATGTGAGAGTGTGTGCACTTTTGTCATAATTAGGCTACAATCAAAGAAAAGACATGATTATTAAATGCAAACCATGAGTGATTTTCACTCAGTGGCTGCCAGCCAAGTCTCTGGGCCATGACAAACCTTTGGCTGATAACCAATAACCACACAAACGTTAAACAGACCCCCCCTTAACCTCTTTCTCTGTTTCTCCCTGCCTCCCATGCTCTCCTCCCTCATCTCCCCTTCATCTGCTTTCCTAAAGAGCAGTGCTGACACCTCAGAATGATGAACTCCTTCAGTGCTCTGACCTTTCTCCTTCGGACTAGTCACCCACCCTCCTGCCCTCTACCATGTAGATGAGACAGAGACAGATGAAGATATTTTGTAATGTGTGTGCATGTCTGGGGTTAGTGGGGATGGTGGGCGGGAGTGTCAAGCAGTGACACAGTTAAATTAGTTTTGCTGTTGGTGGATGGTGGCCGTTCCACCTTCAGATCAGCAGTCAACCAGGGAGATTAATCCCGACACTGGGGGCCTGTTGAAGAGCGGTTATGACAGGCCCTGAACCAGAAGAGCGAGGCAGACAGGTAGACAGACAGAAAGGGCAGATGGGTTCATGACTATGATAAAACCGACCAAGATTGTGTCCATATATCTGTGTGTAACTTTAATGCTTAACATACAGATTGTCAGATAGCCGGGGACATAAAAATGTAAAAGCCGAGTTTCTGCACTATGACATGTACAAATAATTAGTAGGTAGCAAAAATCCTACGATTGACTTATTAAAAAATGTCTGCTATGTCTGCTGGTGCTGCTTCAGACAGTTTCCCTAGCAGATTTAACAAAGATTTAATTTTTATTATAGGCTAATCAAAAGAAATCAAGCATGATACCCAGTCGTGATTCTGATTTAAGGCGTGTTTATTAATTTGCAGATTATTATCTAGCTATTAACTAGCCATGCAGCATTTTATATTGTATTTAAATTAAATTACTAGTGTAAATTAACGTCACTTTTGACTAAATTAAAATACAGTGGCTAATTGATCTGGAATAGGGTGACTGATTCTTCAAATTGCTGTTAGCAGTATTAGCACAAAAATACACATCTGTAATAAAAAAAAAAGAGAACAAACCAATTATTGTTCTGCCTCAAAGTAATACATTTAGATGAGCTGTTGCATTTTTATAATTTACATTTTATTAGTTTCATGGTTATTGTAGTGTTATAAGTATATGGTTAGTAAAGATTTGAGACTGGAGCTAAATTCTGGAGCACATTTTACACCCACAGGATGGCACTGCAAATCTTTTCGATCCATAGTGATATCAAGGTGTCATGTTAATTATTGATACTCCATTGAATTCAGGTATTGTGAACATGTGAACCGTCCTTGAACAGTTACTATATCTTCTCATCACTCTCATCCCATGTAATAAAGGCCAAATGTGGATATCAGATACATATGCATATGTATCTGATATCCACATGCATACATTTAAGTGAATGAGTGACAGAAGTTGGTAAGTATAGTATCATTAGCCTTGTCTACCCATTTTTCTCTTTCTTTCTGTTTTAATTGACTCCAGTTTGTAATCCTGTCCCTTTAGGCCATCCTTTGTATTTCTGTCTTGTTTCCTTCTATAATTGGTTGAGATAAGTGCATCTTACAGGCCACGTAGATGGAAGAAATCCCTGGATTATTCATACTCTGTTAAGGGTTCACATGAACACTAAAACAACTTTGTGTTGTTTATTTTAATAATTTTGCTCAGGTTTTGCCATTTATTGTAACTGATACCTGCAGATAGTTTGTGAGATAAAAGGCAAAGAAAAATAAAACTTAGTTGCTTAAAGCACATGTGTATTCAGTTACTTTTCAGTAATGGGAAACACTGTTGGCAGACCTAACCTAATGAGTCTGTTTGTGTCTTTATGTCTTCAGTTGAGGTGTCCATTCCTTGTGTACCAGAGATAGTAGAAAATGGCCAAATGTCCGAAGGCACTCATCTGGATACAGAGGTATGTTACATATACTTTCAGTACAAGTGTGTTTAATCTCTTTAGCTCAAAAATGTTTGGACGACACGTTTTGCAAGTTTTGAAGTTCTCTGAGTCCACACAAGCCTGATGTATTAGACTTTTAAAAGATTACTTTGGTTTTCTAGATTTATTTTTATGCATAAATGCTGTTAAGAGTAAAAGCACTATTAAACGCCTTCTATAGCTCATCACACTGTGCAATAAAACTCAAAAGATTATTAAAATTATTAAAAACTATTACTGACAAACTGAACCAGGTACTATGATAAATACACTGACACTACACACAATGACAAAGAAGCAGCAGTAGTCACATGGCACTTACAGTTTCTCCTTCTACACATAATTGTGATTTCATTCGGACAAATGTGATTTAAAGCCATTGTAGCATAAAATTTAATATAAAAGGAACATATTTAGTTAAAAGGGTATCATTCAAATTATGCTCTAACATGCTTTTTTGTTATTCATTTGTAGTACAAATCTCACTAACATATTAGTGAGATTTAAAAATGATAAAATATCAGTGCTATTGAGGTTATAATAGAGTAACTTTAATAAAAACTACTTATTAGGCATAACAAAGATGCTTTTTTATCTCCCACTCCCTCTTCCACAGCCTCACATGCCTGCCTGACTCTCCAGAATAAAATTAAAACTTCCAGATCAGCTCTCTGCATGTCCTCGTCCCCCTGGTGGCCAGCTCTAGAACCACACCACACATTACAAACCCCCATACACGACTGGCTTTATTGTTTATAAAATTATCATTTTAAATGTTTTATATTGAATAGTAAATCATTGAATATCTACAATTATTTTGACAGTGAAAAACTAAATGTCAGCTTTTATACATGCTGCTTGTTTATAATTAGCTGTGCATGCTTTGTGCTTTCATTCACTGAGAAGTTAAATATCTAACACAAAGGCATCAGTCCGTGCAGGTTTTTCTCCTGGTGTTATCCTACCGTATTCTGCCTCATAAAGTTATACAATTAATCTGATATGATAAAAGGTAACTGTTGGGAAGTGTTGATAACAGTAAAAATGATAATTGAAAAAAAAGTGATAATTGTCTTATGGTGATTGCTAGCATCGATTCTTATTTAATGTCATAAATCAATTTGTTTCCTCCACCAGCCGTTATGGTTTTGGTAATGTTTTTAAGCTTGTGTGCTTGTGTGTTATCATTTTGATAACAAGTACTCGAAAACATTTGAATGAATATGTATAAAATTTTATAAGGGTGTCAAGTGGGGTCATTTCAATATTTCATTAAAATTTGGTTTAGATCCACAAATGGTCGAGTTAATGAATTATTTGTCAGAAATTGACGAAAAGCCTAGAAACCGTTATAGAAACACTTCTTACAAGTGTGGTGTATGTTGTCACCTGTATAAGGATTAAATATCATTAGCTGTTACACATAACAATTTGAATACATGTACAGTGCATAGTAGCATATATATATA